TGCATTGGCTTGAGCAAGGGTGGTATTTTGAAATGTAAAAGGAAGCTGTGTTATTTCTTTTTGTATTATGATTGTGGTCTCACTTCTGTACTATGGACTCCTGTCTCATTAGCTACTTTCTGAAAAAAAACTCTTTTGTGGAGCAGTTTGAACTTTAACAGAGACGGGTTAAATACAAGTGGATGGAACACAGCTAATGAGCTACGCTAGATTCATCCATTTTAGACCCTCGGGCTCTCTGTTTCCTCAAGGGTTAGCACTGTCAAGACAGTTTAAAGTTGAACTCAACACAACAGATTAATTCAGCCCCAAAAGCAAATCTGATTAAAACAAAATTAATTGATTTCATTCCAATTGCTACGATTGTCGATTGGACTGCCTTAAAGCAGCACTCTAGTGATGAGAAGTGGGCCTAAAGTCAGAATCGATACAGCCCAGGCATGAAATGTCTCAATTTCGGTCCCAAGTATGGGTCAGGCTCCAAAAAAACCTGGATAAAAACTGCACAGTGTGCACCATCTTTTTTTGGAATGGTTAGGAGAGAGACTGGAAATGTGGCTTTACTTGGCAGACATATTTGGATCAACTTTCTGTCTCTCCTCCTCTCTCCCAGCTCATTCTGATACCGTAGCTATAGTCTATGCAATTAAGTAAGCTTAGTCCAGGTTCACAAAACACCATATGACGTACATACGACTTGCTATAATTAGACTCCTGGAAAGAGCTTTATCAAAGACTGAGTTTTACACGTGACATTTCCTTGTCAGTGGAAGAGCAGGCCACCACACACACACATACTGTGTATATATATGTCTCCATAGTTTGCATATATAGTATATACAGTATATATATACAGTCTGACTGAACTCTTACTGCAGTGTTTTATCGTTACCTCATATCTCACAGTGATGATGATTGCGAAGATGTTGTTGAGGGAGTAGGGCTCAGCCTACTCTAGTTTCCTCGCCCTAGAATTCATCACATTTTCCTTTTAGTCTAACTGTGGTTGCCTTTTTGTTTCTTTTTTTCAGTCTGTGCACCAGACAAGCAATCTTTTGTCTTTAGAAGAGTGTTCCATCAATCCCAGAAAGAAAACCTTACAAGCGCGCAGCCAAAACATTTTTTTTGGGGGGGGGGAAATAAACCCAATTTGCCTGGCAGATTGCATTTTATTTCAATCATTGTGGTCCGTTTGTTTTTTTGCCTGGGGTATGGCGCCTCCTTGCCATCAGTTACCTGAACTTCTTATCTGCTATTCTACCCCCTAAAGCAAAATTGAAACAAGCACGGATTAACTCAATGTCATGGCAGCTTTGTCCGTGAGATAATGGGCGACAATGAGCTCTGCAGTGACAGCAGTAAATGATGCCAATTTTCCCAGTGAAAGGGAGAATGATAGGAAGAGAAGAGTTTGGGGAGATAGCTTAAGACTCTAATCCAACCTAAGTCAATCAGAACGCTGGGGGTTTTGCTGAGTGTTTGTCCCCGTAGAAGTGATTTATATCATCCAATAATTGTGGCGCAGGTGGCTCAAATGATGACTGAAGATATGTGACAGAATAGGTTTAAGACGATTTGGTGAAGAATGTCACATTTCTGTGAAAGGAAGGGTGACATGTTTTGTCTTAAGGGGATTAAAAGTTTGGGTGACATTTTTTCCTTCCTTGCTAATATGAAGTCCCTATCGCCCAATACATCCCCAGTCTGGCTTAGACTCTATGGTGTCAATCATAAACTCATGATTCTGTTTTATCAAATGATTTTAGAGAGTGTAATTCGATATGGCATGCAAGTATGGTATGGTAACCTGTCAGGACAGTTGAAGTCTAAGCTCAAACGGCCACAAAGATCATAGGGAGAAAAAGAACATCATTATCTTCTTGCCCTTATATGAAAAATCTGTGATATGAAAAATCTGTGCTCAGGGAGGCACAGAAAATTCTGAACGACCCAATGCATATTCTGAACCCAGAATTCCAGCTGTTGCCTTCAGGCAGACGGTTGCGAATGCCGATCTGCAGGCTGAATCGTTACAAAAATGTATTTATTCCATCCTCCATCAAATTATTAAATAGCAACAGGTCGTATTGTATGATTTTATTTTATTGGGGACTAATATATTGTGACTTGATTATTTATCATCTGTGTTGATCACACCTGGTTTAATTATTATTATTATTATTCCTAACTATTGACATGTGTATTTAAGCACGTTTATGCATGAGTGTATGTATGATCGATCTATGTTCTATGCGTGCGTGGATTGTGATGCTGGCAAGTGTATTGTGTGATATAGTGGCTTGGAGACTAAGATAAATTTCCCTGGGGGACAATAAAGTACATCTTATCTAATCTTAACTATAAGCTCTGGTGCTACGTGCTCACTTAAACATTCACTACAGGGTTATCCAATGTACTGATTGGTCAATTAAATGCCAAAGTGCTCCTTATGTGCTCGTTTTTTGAATTTGATGAAACTACCTACTAACATTCATACCCAGTTGGCGAATTGAGGCTTAATGAGAGGGATGCCGTCCCCCTTGTTAACAGAAATGACCGAAATGCATGCCCCTCATTAACCTGCCACCCCCACTCTCAATCCAAGAGGAGCAGAGAGAGTGCAGGGTCGGAGGGGTTGTTTGGGTGAGTATCTTAGTCTAGTCTGTCCAACTCATGGATCCTTTATCTGACTTAGTTAGTATCTATGGCCCCGACCACGGCTCTGCATCAGTAAAAGTGGTATAACTGTGCCGTGTGTTGATAAATCCATGGCGCTGTCCATGGTGCTGAAGTAGCAGACATATTTGTATTAAAGTCATTCATTGGGCAGTTCACTAGTCATGGGTGAAGGAAACTAACCGGGTCCATCGCCCGGTGTTAGAAATTAACAATTTGTCTAGCATTGGTACCTACTGATACATCCTTGCAGATCTCTATGTATATTTATATTGCAGCTCTCATTAGCAACGTCCATCACTATCCAAAATGATATTTTAATTTTGGTAATGAAATAAAAGATCAACTGCATGGTACGTTTCAACGATATATTCAGCTCTCCAGGTGACCTTTCCATAGCTGCCAGTGGTCCTGTTTATATCCATAATTCTTATGTAAATTGTGTTCATTTCCATTGACTGCCAGAGTTCCAATCTAAGCTCACGAGGTACCTTCATGTCGAAAGCTTAAGTATCAGCCTCCATCCTGAGAGCTAATGTTCTAGTTGGTAGCACACAAGCAACCAAGTTACTTAAAAATATATGTTCACATTTTATCATACAGGGAGCTGATTTGTTTTCCTTGAGTGTGCATGTTGAAGGGCTGACAGCATGTGCACAGCGAGAGGCAGGGGCGTTTCTAGGATTCAAATAAAGGGGGGGCTTAGCCCCAAGGGGAGTGGCATGTTTGCGCGCAGTGTGCGGCAATTTTTTTTGGGGCCCATTTGGGGCCGTGGATATCCATTGTTTCAGACAGTTCATAGATTGGTTCAATCAGAAAGAGTGTGATTTTGCTCTGTAGTTTTGCTTGCATTCAGTATATGATAACACAAGAGACAGAATTTCAGGGTCATAGTGAAATTTGACAACACAAATATGAACTTTTCTCAAATAAAGAGAGAAATAATTTTCCTGCTTGTAAAGGAAAGACGGATAAACTAGCTTTCATATCCGCGTCACTCCCAAATCCTAATTCTTAAAGGGACCGCACACAATGGATGGAGAATGGACCTGACAGTGTCAACTTTATATCATTAAGTATGATGATCGGCTATTGGATTGTAATTTGAAGGGGGAGAAAACATACAAACCAGAACACACGCACATATGTAGCATGTTAGAGTTATAAATAACTTGTCCATGTAAGAAACAATAGTTTAATTTAATGACATCACCAAAAAAAAAAAAAAAAAAATTTTTTTTTTTTTTTTAATCCAATAATGCCAAATTATTTGGGGGGGCTGAAGAACATTTTAGGGGGGCTTCAGATAGGGGGGGCTTCAGCTTCAAATAGGCCGAATGATGCCCCTGGCGAGAGGCCTTTTCTTTGCAGCAAAAATGTGTTTTTATTTTACAAATAGTCCAAAGTTAACTTGAAAAAAACCCAGTTTATTTAGCCTTACGAAGCTCAGGTAAGGTTCAGTCCGAGGAGACTCTCCTCATGTTTCCACTCATTCTCAATCTCTCCAGTTTCTACTCTATCAGCTATGACAATGCACAATGTGAAGAAGTTTGCCTTCAGGCCTTTCTGCCGGAAATCTCTTTAGTTTTAGGCAACTAACATGCTTGGTTAGGTTTTGTAAAAGTATCATGATTTAGGTTAAAACAAACCCTTTCTGGTAGAAAGCCCTGAAGGCCAATGTCTCCCATGTGCGCTGACTATGGCCGTTCACTCTAGTTTAACCAACCAGATGTTGCCCCAAGTCTCCCTAAGCCAATCATATCGTTGCATTAACTTTAAAACGTTTATGCTGCGTCAGCTGTCATGTCGTTGTTGTTTCAGACAAACAGATGTGACCGTCCTCCGCCCCTTTACCTCCGGTCTCCATCACATCAGTGCCCGGTCCTGCTCAACATCCCATCATTCAGATCTCGGGTCAACTCTCTTCACCACCACCGGTGACTCGACCCCGGAGGGGAATATTTATGATCCAACCCTGGCATCTCCACCCCCTAAATATACTGCGTCAGACATTTCACTTTATTGTGCATCATGTAATACACGTATTGATCAGTCTAAATGGAGTTTCTTCTGAGTGAAATAGAGGCGACATTGTGTCAGTTTTCGTCTGACTTTGAATTATTATTTTTTCCACTACTCTGATTACTCCGAAAACCAGGGATTCTTATAAACGTGATGTTTCAGGTCAATCGGATCGAGCTGAATGCTGACTGTAACCCAGTTAAGTGCGTGTGAACTCAAAACACTGTACGCTCCACCAGTGATGTTCTTTTTAAACTCTAGTTGTTAAATGCAACGTGATCTCTTTGTGTTCTGGTACTCACAGTGACGGCATCAGTAGTTTGGTCGGGTCAGGTATCCAAACACATAGCGATTCATGTCAGGAAGGTGGGGTCCGAATTGTACGACGCCTCTTCTCGAGAGCTCGTCACATCTGTCTCGGTTGGATCTCTCAGGTCACCTGAAACAAGGAGGAGGCACAGTGGGACAAGTCAGTGAAAAATCACCTGAGAGTTGTAAAAAAACAATATGAATCGTCGGAAAGCCGAAGAATTACTTTATTCATTCCAATGGGAACATTCAGTAGCATTTCTATTGTAAATGATTTTGTGCAAACCTAACTGTGGGTCTTTGCAATTTTTAAGGCATTAAATAGAGAAAAACACGACATTTAAAGTGAAAAAACTGAGTGTATTCAAACTGAACTTTTAAGTGCAGGGAGCAGAAAAAAAACAGTTTCTTTTTTTGCTTTTGGTTTGGTAATGATACCGCTCTGAGTCTTTGATTTCAGTGTGTAGAAGGAGAGGATGGATAAATCAGTTTGGATTAAAATATAAAGATAAGGACATCGGGGTCGGACAGACACAGATTTAAGTCATGTTTTTCAGACAATGTTATAAAGGAGTCCTCTGACAACAACCGTTTGTATGTTAGTTTTCTAGGACATAGCCGATGTCTAATAATACAGCACTGATACATCTCCCCATGAGAGAGCCACCATGTCAGAGCACCCCACAAACCCACTGCTGCTTCTCATCCTAATGGGTAAAGATGGAAACAAAAGATCAACCCAGAGAGAGAAAGGTAGACACAGCACGGCTTCAGGATGTTTATTTTGGTAATAAATGGTGCGCTCTGGCTCCAGGCCTAGGTGGATAAACAAAATCCATTTTGATGTTTCAATGCAATTAATGCCGTCTTTACAGAACAATGCATCTTTGTGCTGAAATAAGGCTCCGTTTCTAAGTCGGCATCTGCCAGACATCTGTCTTTGCCAAATCAGACGGTCGGTGGGAGAAATCTTAATGACACGAAACCCAACTGGCTGACAGAGAAGATGCTGCAGTCTTGCGGCAATGGACAAGTGTGAAACTGGATAATAAGCACTGTGTTGCAGCGGTCTAGCATAACGAGAAAGCTGATTGCTTGATCCCTGATAATGACCGTCCTTTGCGCTTTCTCCATTAAAAATGAGCTCGTAACTGCAGAGACGGGCAGTCTGTTCACCAACATAAATTACAAAAAGTAAAATTCTCAGAACTTGCATCCTGTCTCTGACTAATCCACAGGGCACACGGTTTCCATTGGGACTGTTTCTTCTGCAGCTTCAATGAAAATGGTTTACAGTGACTGGGACATTGTTTGGGGAAAGACAAAGATATATTTTCTTACAATGCAGGAAGCAACACAAACGTTAAAAGTGAAATACAGCGGTGACATGGTCTCAACCCTTCAAAGCCTTGGTCTCGTCTCTGTCTCGATACACTTTTTATACACACTCAACCGGCAGTAGCAGTTGCTCGGGCCACTTAAAGTAACGTTTGCCATTGTTGATAATAAAAAGAAAGCCCACTAGTCTTGTTACTTTTCCTGCCAACTTTCCTGTTTGGACAGGATTTTCACTTCGGCACAGGAAGATGACGTCCTGAATAATAACTCCACCTTCGAACCAGTGGCCTAGTTTTTTCTCTCCACCTGAGGAAACATCAATGAGCACAAAACCAGACCGTTTTGAATCACTTCGAAAAATGAGAAATACACTATAACATGGCATAACCATGCAAAAGTATCGTCTTCGTGACTGAACTTAGGCTATAGCTCCATTTACATAATAAACAGACTTACTTTATGGAACAATGCATGCTTATGCTTCAACCCAAACCCTGATCCTTTTCCTCAGCCTCACCAGGTAGTTCCGTTTCGTAAGTAAAACCTAAACACTAAGTGAATCCAAGTACGTTTATTTTGAAACAAGACTACACGCATGTAACAAGTGGAACTCGACACGCCGTCCCTGACAAGTACAAAACTAGAGCGTCCTAGTTTGAAGGGCCACTGACCAACCGTCGGCATTGGACGAGCTCAGACTGATGTGTTGGTAAGACGGCCCAAACTGTCGCAAAATCTGACATTGCCTAGGATTGTATTCTGTTAAATTAGAATAACTTAAGACAACAATTTGTTCCCCCTGACAAGCCATTGCAGTTGTTATGTCATGTGATTTCTGCCTCTGTACGTGACAAGCTGAAGAATATCCTCCCAAAATCCTATTGACAAGCTCTGTCTGCAATGCTGGGTGGTGTAACTAAGCCTTGGAGACGAGACCCCCCCCCGACTTCCATGGCTTTGTCGGCTGTCCTTTGCCAAGAACACCTCTGCTCTTGATTCCGGTAACACAATGTGCTTAACGAGATTCCGGATGCCTGCATGCGGAGCCTCCACCGGCAGCAGGTCCGGCGCGCCCACCACTGCCTTCTGGTGGGCTTCGAATTGTTTGAGTGCAAATGGGCATGAAGCTGTAAAAAAGTTCAACCAGAATCCAGACAGCTACAATTTCACGCCCGTGCAATTGAGACACGCTGCTGTTGCTGCGTGTTGCGGAGGTCATCAAGCAGCTGCCACTCCAGATTACGGTTGATGTAACAGAGTGAAACAGCGGGGAAAGGGTTTTACTAACTGCGTGAAGGCCTCCATGTTCCTTTTCTTTCACTTTTCAGCATCTTGCTGTTGAGCTCTGGTTGTTTTTTTTTTACCGTGGGTTCACATCCATGCTGCTACACCTGGCGAAGAGAGAGACCGTGAACATGTAAACCGAGGATCGTGTACCTTGGTGTTGATGATACGTAGACTCATCTGTTTTTTATTTCCCACTCAAAATGCTACAATGCCCCCGCCGTGGCTGTCAATTTCTTGATGCAAAACAGGCCGCGTCTACATGCTCATGAATGTCAAACACCTCAAATAAGATGTGAGATACCGGGTGCTGCATGGTCTTTGAACGCTTCATTCAAAAGGAAGCTGCATAAGAGCAATCAATCAAGAATGCAGCCTGTCAGTTATGTGATCTTAAATGGGTCAATCGAGGCGGAGTGAGGTCGCCAATAAATCGTTCAAGTGTGTTTTTACAGTGGGTTGATTATGAGCAGGCTCACACAGCCAACATCTCCGCTGACAGGGCCTGCATTGTATTAAGGATTTGTTTACAAGGAAACTGTCTCAGCGGCTCCTGACATCAGGGGCGTCGTTAGGCCTGTTTTAGGGGGGCTGAAGCCCCCCTAAAATGTTCTTCAGCCCCCCCAAATAATTTGGCATTATTGGCTTTAAAAAAAAAAGAAAAAAAATTCTTTTTTTTTTTGGTGATGTCATTAAATTAAACTATTGTTTCTCACATGGACAAGTTATTTATTTGTATGTTTTCTCCCCCTTCAAATTACAATCCAACAGCCTATCATCATACTTAACGATATAAAGTTGACACTGTCAGGTCCATTCTCCATCCATTGTGTGCGGTCCCTTTAAGAATTAGGATTTGGGAGTGACGCGGATACGAAAGCTAGTTTATCCGTCTTTCCTTTACAAGTAGGAAAATTATTTCTCTTTATTTGAGAAAAGTTCATATTTGTGTTGTCAAATTTCACTATGACCCTGTCTCTTGTGTTATCATATACTGAATGCAAGCAAAACTACAGAGCAAAGTCACACTCTTTCTGATTGAACCAATCTGTGAACTGTCTGAAACAATGGATATCCACGGCCCCAAATGGGCCCCAAAAAAAATTGCGCGCAAACATGCCACTCCCCTTGGGGCTAAGCCCCCCCTTTCTTTGTATCCTAGAAACGCCCCTGCCTGACATACTGATTCTCTGTGAATAACACTTCTGCGTGCCAATAAAATGCATATTGTGAATCAAACACAGATGTGTATGCACACAAACGACCACAGCGCATGAATTAGGTGGCCATATGATATAAGACAGAGCGTGAGCAACATAGCACACACACACACACAAACACACACACACACACACACACACACACACACACACCTACATTGATGCTTCAGATGATACAAGTCTTGTTAGTCATCTAATCCCAAACTCAAAGCCACAAATGGACCTCTCCAGAGATAAGAGCAGACTGCTGTGTTCCTCTAGAATTAGATTTGATTTACTTCTTGCCTATCAGTCAATGAGTGCAACATGCATTTAAAATAGGAAGGGAATGGTGGTTGATAAGGAGAACCCCTCTTCACAAGGAGTTAGTTTTCGGGCAACGTTACCTTGACTGACTAACGACTCAAGTGACCAATGATTGACTTTCATCATAACAGACTTCATTCTATCAATATCCAATTAGTATTTCATTGCCGTAACATTTTTCTTTTCAAAAGAAAAGAAAGACAAAACAATAAAAATCGAATAATTACTTTACACGTGTGGAGCGAGGTCAATTTATCATCCAGGGTAATATATCTTTGTAATATAATAGAATATGTTAAACCATGTTCATCATCTTAGTGTTTACGTGCTAACATTTTCTAATTAGCACTAAACACAAATTAAAGCTGAGGCTGATGCATATACTTGTGCATATACTTGTGCATATACTTGGCCATGAACCAATGTATTGGATACGCTATCACATTTTTCTGTTGATTGCTCAAGGCAAATAGTTCAGGGATCACCAAAGTAATAACAGTTCATCCTGAGGGGGACAAGAATGCGTGTACCAAACTTCATGGCAATCCATCCAAGTCAGATTCATCCAGAGGGACGAAGAACATTTGCACATAGTTTCATAGCATCTTTCATCTTTTAGTTGTTGAGATATTTCAGTCTGGACAAAAAGTGTAGAGCATGGCTGAATTTGGTCAAAATAGATACAACAGAGGTCGAGAGACCTTGACTTTTGACCCCTGGTATGGTCAAGCTCCAAAATCACTGGATCCTACACTTCCCATAATGTAAAGACTGTATGTACGTAGTGGACGTAGTCATCGTGACGTCAACCATTAGTTTGTGGACTCTTTTTGAAGCGTTGAGTTTGACGTTTTGGCCGTCGCCATCTTGGCTTTTTTGTGAGCAATGAACGGAAGTGATCATGTTTGGATGGCGGAGGAGTGACACAGAGACGGCTCTGGTAGGGTAGCGACCTGTCAATCACAAGGTATCCCCGCCCTAA